TTCTGAAATAAAATTCTCTTCTTTTTTGTTCTTTATTGCTACTAAGGCACTTAATGAGTCGCTGAATATAACTGATCCTACATATAAAGTATCTAACTGGTGTAACCAATTGAGGGCCAGCATTATCCCCGCCAGCTCAGCTCTATATGAGGATGTTCCGTCAGACAATCTCTTTGATTGTTTACACGCGAAGTAAGGAACATAGAAAGCTGCAGAACAACGTCCTTCTTTAGGAAGTTTGGACCCATCTGTGAATATGTGAAGTTGGTTGAACCATTTTGTGTTTATTATTTCTAAACTTCTCTGTTGCAAAAGTAGTGGATTATCAGATTTGTTTATCTGACTAGCCAATTCAATTGATATAACAGGCTCCGTTAGTAACCATGGGGGGAAGTTTAGGGGTTTTAATTTTTCTACAGAAAGGTGTTTGTTAGAGTTTTCTGTTCGATAACCAAACGGTTTGTTGCACTGTTTTCCTTTCATATACTGATACTGCCAACAAGGTTGTAAACTTGGAAAAACTGGATGCTTAGGTTGCTGTTCTATGCTGTGCTTATATTTTAGGGCTAGTTGTTGTCTCCTAAGATCTAATGGGGCTTCTCCCATTTCTACTTGGAGAGACGCTAGTGAAGTTACCGGTAGGGCACCTGCACATATCCTTAAGGATTGGTATTGAATCGAATCTAACACCTTCTTTACGTTTTCCGATGCACTGTCGTAGGCTTCACACCCGAAGTCCAAAAGGGGGCGAATATAAGCTCTATAAACCATTATTAAGGACTTAGATGAACTGCCCCATGACGTACCAGTTAAACATCTTAAAATATTTAACTTTCTCTTGCATCTGGTGGATATATACTCTATATGTTGGGTCCAGGTAAGTTTTTTGTCAAATAATATACCTAGGAATCGGTGTGTATTTTCACATTTTAGTGGTATTTTGTTTAAAGTGAGGTTTATCTCATGGTTTTTGGTACTTTTGGTGAAAAGTAGGGGAACAGTCTTTTTTAGGGACAGTTGGAGACCCCAGGACGTAAACCAGCTATGTAGTTCATCAATATAATTTTGTATTTTTTTGGTAATGAAAGGAATATTGCTGCGTGAGATCCATATCGCGCAATCATCGGCATACAAGGATATTTTTATCGAAGGGTCTGTTGGGATATCGTTGAGCATTATGTTAAAGAGTGTGGGACTCAGTATGCTACCTTGCGGGAGACCTCTCTCCATCTTGAACTCGTGCGATAGTTGTCTACCAACGCGTACCTGATAAGTGCGGTCTTTTAAAAAGTTGTGAAGAAAACTAAGCATGTTTCCTTGAATACCTATATTTCCTAGTTTGTGAATTAGGCCTTCTATCCATACTGTATCATATGCCTTATTTATGTCTAAGAAAACGGCTAAAGTATGCTCTTTATTATTTATACTCTTCTGGACATCGTTTTCAAGATTTACTATATTGTCTGTTATACTACGGCCTCTTCTGAACCCACTCATAAAAGTAGGTAATATCTCATGCTTCTCTAAAAACCAATCAAGTCTTGTTTTAATCATCGTTTCCATGATTTTTATGAGACATGGCGATAACGCTATGGGTCGATATGATGATGCCTCACTTGCATTTCCGTTCTGTTTTAGGACTGGGACCATTATCGCGTGTTTAAGTTGGGGTGGGATTTGGTTGGATTCCCAGATTAAATTAATGAAATGTAGTACGTACTCTCTCGCCACAAGGGGCAAGTTTTGGTAAACTGAATACGGTATTCTGTCTTTTCCAGGAGCAGAATTTTTTTTCTTTTCGATGGCTCTATTGAATTCTGCTAGTCCGAATGCCCCATTCAGAGTATGTACTTTACTTTCCTTTAGTGTATTATCCATTATTTCCTGATGCGGCTGCCAACTTCGGGTTTTTTCTGTTGATTTTGGCGCTTCTGTAGTAAAAATTGTATGAAAGAAACCTCCAAGTAACTCCGCCTTGTCTTGGTCCGACTGCATAATCCTTTCTTTGTCTTTCAGTACTGGAATTCTTTTTGTTTTGGTTTGTATGCCATTCAATCTTTTAATGCATTTCCAGATGTTAGATTCCGGGACAAATCGATTAAGTTTCTGGCAGAAGTTGTTCCAGTATAGTTGTTCACATTGACGAAGGAATTTCTGCGTCTCTGCCTTCTTCTTCAAAAAGTCGTTTAAATTCTCAATCGATATTGTTCTATTTAGTTTCTTTTTAGCTCTATTTCTCTCTTTTATTTTATCTGAGCACTCCTTATTCCACCAAGGGATGGGTTTTCGTTGTCGTTTACCTTTTTTTGGATAGGTTTTCTGAATAACCTCGGTGATCGTACTGATAAAGTGTAGATATAACTCTGTTGGGTCTTCACTTACATTTTTTTCGTTTTCCCGATGAAACATTTTTTCACACTCTACCGAGAAAAGTGTCCAGTTCATGTTCCGAAAGGACCATCTGATATCTTCCATTTCGTCTTGTTTATTATCGTTGTGCTTTTTATCTAGTATGATATGAATAGAGATTGGGTAATGATCGCTTCCAAATTTGTTTTGTAAAGCGCGCCACTCGCATTTGCCAGATAAGAGGGAGGACGTAATAGATAGATCTAAAACTGATACTTTTGCGTTCTTCGGATCCATTCTTGTTCCGGACCCATCATTTAATAAAACCATATTTTTTTCGTTTATGAAGTTTTCAATGATCTTGCCATTGGGGTCCGTTTTTTCACTCCCCCATAAAGTATTGTGTGAGTTAAAGTCTCCTACGATGATATATTTATCGTATTCTTGGATGCTTTTTTGAAGTTCTTGCATGATAATTTGGTTTAGTTGTTTGCATGGGTTATAAAAATTCACAACTCGATAAATAGAATCAGCTACGTATAATTCTATGGATTGTAATTCTAAATCTGTCTCATCTCTAGAGGAGTGATTGTATTGGATAGAGTCATGAACATAAAAAGCACATCCACCTCGATATTGGGATTTTCTGTTTTTGGGGATACAAGTATAGCCTGGAAGGGTTAAGTTCCTAGTGTCATTGAACCAAGTCTCTTGGATACAGATTAAATGAATTATTTTATTTGTTCTATTATTACAGTCTACAAATTTTAAGAGCTCATGTCCATGTGCGGACATGCCTTGTGCGTTCCATTGGAGAATGGAAAGCACAGCTATTGTTGTTAAATAACTAACTGCACCCATCATACTGCTCGTGATGCAATCTTTTGTAAAGTAGTCTTTCCGCTGCTACTTTAACCAGCTCAATAATATCAACTTCTCTTTTATCTTTTTCAAAAATCATTATCAATTGTACAATAGAGTGCAATATTTGTTCATTTCGTTCTGATGTTGAGGCGTTTCCATTTCTGACATAAGTATTTGTTAAATTTGCGTTCCCCGCGAGTTTTGTATTTCTGTTTGATTGATTTTGATCTTGGGAGTATAAGGAAGAGGGAACTTTGGATGGTTGTTCATAATGTGGAGCACTTGAAACTTTGGTAGGGGGTTCGTAAGTGGGGGGAGACTCTTTGTTTGTTTGGGGTTGATGTGCACTCTGTTGTTGAGCGCTCTTTTGAATGGGTTCTGGGATAGGGTTGGAATTTTGATCATGACGTTGTTTTTCGTTCCATGCCTTCGAGGCTTGTGCGTAAGTTAGTTTGTTTTCGCATTTGAATTGCTGGACCTGTTTTGCCTTTTTAGCTTCTTTGCAGCCATTATAGGCAGCGGAGTGGGCTTCTCCACAATTTACACATTTTGGATTTTCTTTTCTTTGGCATTGTTCGAAAGTGTGGGGATCTCCACAGCGGACGCATCTCAACTTCGATCTACAATGAGCAATGCCATGACCAAACATTTGGCATCTGTAACACCTGGGAACGAGTGGGATATATAACGAGACTCTGAATGTCTGAAAAAACATAGAAACCTTTTCTGGAAGTTCTGAGTTAAAAGTCAAAATGACACTTCTAGTCGGAAAGTACTCTGGCTGCAGATTTGTTTCGTTTTCATTTCCTTTGTTTTCTTTTCTTTTCTTCATGATTCTTTTAACTGCTATTACTTTTTGGCATTTCAGCTCTTGTTCTATCTCTTTCTCTGTCATGTCTACCGGGATCCCTGAAATGACTCCTTTTACACCCACGATCTTCTCTTGTACTTTAACTGGAATGTTAACGATTGATTGGATTTGGTTAAGGTTTCGATGTTGTTTTGGGGTCTTGCACTGAACAAGAATTCCGGAGTACGTGTGTTTGATAAACTCAATCATGGGTGATTGGCCCACACATTCTTTGATTGATGTAGCTATTGCTTTAGGGGTTACGTTCTTTAAGGATTTGGTCTTATCTATTGGGACTATCAGGGTTTTCAAAAGTTGGGTGCTAGTATGGATGGAAGTGGTGCGGTTAGAGGAGGGGGTTTTGTAGTCAGTATTTCGTGAGGTGTCTGAATCTGAACTGGTCGAGGAGTCCGTTCTGAGGGAGATAGATTCTACAGTCAGACTTCCTTCACGTTTTCGTTTATTTTGGCGTTTCTTGCCATACGTGACTGTCCGAAACTCCTCGTCCAGGTTGAAACTGTCGACCTCCGGAGCGGAAGTCGACATGATTGGGTGTTAGGGGGAGGCGGGAAAATCAAATCCCGCCGTGCGTGTGTGTTAGAGGGTGCGTATAGAAAGCCCAGATTTTGTTTGCCTACCTTATTCTGTATAATCCAATTCACCACGCTTATGGATCCAATATCCTGAACATATATGCAATGAAACCAACTTCCAGAAGAAAAGTATAATTTTCCAGTGAAGATATGAAATTTTTCCCGAAAAGTTGACCGGATTGAGAGAGCCTGTGAAAAACACGTCCACGCAGCGCGAGGGCGCTATCTCGAGTTCTTAGGCTGGGTCATAATATAAGGCTGGTGGGCGAATGAGTTCGTTGATAACGCCATCTTCGGCAGCTTGAAACAAGTGCAGGGATTATTAAAAAGAACAGGCGTATAGGCAGTCACTACCCGGAACTCGTCGAGCCATGCATGTTGCATACAGTTTACAATCACTTACTTTCTTTGATATTGGAGTGTCTTAAGTGAGGTAATATATGCTCGATTGTTACTAGTTTACAATAAGGAGGGGGCAAGAAGGAGAGAGAGAGAGAGAGAGAGAGACGCAGAAAGTAAGTTAGTTAAAATTGTCATTATTCAAAAAAGATCAATACGAACAATTAACTTTGCTGATTTTCGCTCGCATACTGATGGATTTTTTGTACCGATAACATACTGAAAATATCTGATTTATACTATTACTGCCTTGGCATCTTCATGTACCAGCTAAACAAAGGTGATTTCCCCGATGTCTGTACTCACATGTTCATAAAAAAGACAATGCCGTCCACTCATATGATATCCCACCAGACAAAATTCGCTGTTTTCACGAAGTGACGGTAGTGAAAAAAATTGCATTCACTTTGCGTTACGATTTTCCTCACTACTGTCACTTCGTGAACACGGCGACGTTCACCTTTTTCGCGTCCGCACTGTATTTGCACTCAAAACAATTTAGGACCAACATTTTGGAACGCGCTGAGGAAGGAGATAATGGAATCCCCGTCGTTAAATTGATTCAAGCGTAATAGTGCGGTTTGGTATGTAATCCCGTAGGATTTTTGTGCCAAAGTTGATTTTTTTTTGTTGTTGCTGTTTTTGCTTCAAAAGGGTCCCAATTGGCCAAAAATGATTGGGTTCAAATTGTCAGATCCCTCCTTCATTTCCTGAGGGTCCATATTGGGCGCCAAAATTGCTTATATAACGCGCAATAGGGAAATTTGGTGTCTTCGGGAAAATTTGAACCCCATCAATTTTTTATTTCTGATAGCTTGGACCCCAATGAATCCAAAAATGCAAATGCAAAAAAAAAATCAACTTTGGTACAAAAATCCTACGGGAGCTGTTTCAGTGACATACCGTACCACACTATAAGTATAAACAGTCCTTTTTGAATTCATATGACCCACATTGTAATTAAAGTACTTATGATATTCTACATTGTACATTCCGGCCTTCTCCGATAATTATGTTCCGATGCATGCGCGCCTGTTCCTGGAGGGCCCTCGGGCATGTGAACGTGCTTGCCCGGATGTGCCAGGTCCTTGTTTTTCTTGCTGGGGTCGTCTGCGTGAATCGGTCGTTGCTAGGTCGGACAAGCCATGTGGCTTGTCCGGCCTGGCAACGGCTGCTGCTGTAAACTGGTTCACGCGGGTGATGCTGCGGGGGAGGCGTGGGGTGTGGCGCAGGTGAATGCGTTTGCGTGCCTTGGGGCTCTCTGGGAGCAGACGTGCATGGGTTTGAATATGCATGTTGGAAACTGGATTGTGTCTGGGCTACGGCCTACATAATTATTGTATGCATTACTGTATCATGATTGTTCGTGTCTACTGCCTCGCTCGAGTGACCTCGTTTAATGACCTCAATATTTTAAAGTGATTATCGTGTCATTTCTTTGGTAACAATTTAATTAGTTTGCTGTATTTGCTATTAATGCTATTTTTGCTTGTTTCACGCTGTAATATATCATCTTATGTCAAGGCCTTCTTGCCCACCTATTATTATTGTTACGTCCTTCACCATTACAACCACTTCAATCAAATGTTAGTTTTATTTACGGGAACCTATAATCTACAAGCTGAGCTTTTTAATAGGTTCTTCACATTTCACCCCGTATTACCTTCTATTCAATACAATTAATTTCGACGTCTTTTCAAAGAATTATGTGACACTTCAAGTATATTTTACATTATGTTCTTATCTTGTCAATTATGTGAATTTTTTGTTGTTGTGAAATGTGAAACAAATAAACTTGAAAATTGACACTTGAGAGGGGGTAGAGAGATAAAACGAGAACGAACAAAACAAAATTACTTTCGATGATTTTACGGAAACCGTTGGGAACTCTGGGTCTTAACGAAAGACTACATGAGATGGAGGAAATCCCCTTCTGGCCCCTTTAAAATTCTCTATTGTGTGCTTTTGCTCTAAGGTGAAATTGCACACAATAGAGCTATGGTAAAGGAACCACGGGCAGATTTTCTCTTATTTATTTCAAATAAAAATAACTTGAATATTGAGACCACCGCAATGAAAATAAAAAAGCATTCATATCTGAAGCTCTTAACTGATTCTGAAGTTACATTTTTGAAAATCTTATTCCAAGGATCATCATTTGCAAACTGGAAAGACGTCCATTATGCTCAGAAGCTTATAATTTATCTGAGTAACTGTTACGAAAGTAAGGAAGATTTGGGAGAAGTCGTTCTGTACAGCTCTAAAAAATCTGGTCAGGGATCTGGTCAGACATTGATTTCTGTACCCAGATGTGAAATCTGTTCGTTTAAGTTAACAAGAAAACACACATAACATAAGCAAAAACTAACAAATCAAAGCTTTTAAACTTACACTACTTTGCTCATGAATTGTAGTTCCATTGTTAATAGACATGATATTTTTTGCATGTACATGTAAACCTTCTATTCAATACAATTAATTTCAAGAGAAGAATAGCTCTCGCTAAATCTGCATTTTCAAAGCTAGGCAAAATTCTGACAAATCGAACAATGAGTGAGAGGACCAGAATAAGAGTATTGTATTGTTACATCTACCCATTACTTATGTATGGAAGTGAAACATGGACTTTAGCCTCTGATACTAAAAAGCGTTTGGAAAGTTGCAAAATGTTGTTTTTAAGAAGAATGATGAAAATCCCTTGGACTGACAAAGTTGGTAATGAGGAAGTTCTTACACGAGCTGGAATGCGAAGGAAAGTGATACGTGAGATGTTGATTAGGCAGTTGAAGTTCATGGGTCACATTTAGAGAATCTTGCTTTGACAGGGAAAATTGTGGGAAGAAGGAGTAGGGGAAGAAGGGGGATACTTTGGATGAACAGTCTGCAGAAATTGTTGGAAGAGAGAGGAGTGAAAGAACTGGGAGTGGTACTAATACAGAAGGCTAGGAGCCGAGGGTTGTGGAACAGCATGATCGCAAAAGTCAAAGTCAAACGATATGGCACTTAGAGAGAGAGGGAGAGAGAGAGAGAGAGAGTATTTGGACTTGGCAGATATTATTACCCTGGTCATCGGATCCATTCAGGCACAATGTACACCATCTACAGGGGAGTATTCCTACCATATGGTCACCATGAGGATATACGGCAATTACTTACACAAATGCTTTCGTCATCCTACCAGGTCCCAATTTCCATCATGGGTATGGAGTGGCAAGTGTAGATTAATGTCTTGCCAAAAGACATTAGTGCCGTGTCGGGGATCAAACCCATGACCTTTGTAATTCAAGTCGAGTGCTTAAAACCACTCGACCACGACATCTCTACATATACCATGGGGCAAGAGAGGAATCCAAATAACTTTTATCTGAATAAGGAACAGAAGATAAGACGTCATATTTCTGATCAATTAGATATCAAAGTACATGTATGTGTAATTTTTCTTATACCCGTAAGTTTGCTTTTTAAATCATTTTAAAAAGTCACAATTAAAATAATGCGAGCTTATATTTCATGTACAATAGATAAAATTGATAGAGAAGAAGGGACTAACAAAAAGCAAAGCCTTTTCAAATCATATTACTGAGCAGTGAAGAGATTAGAGAATTGATGAATAAATGAACATTTGTGTAAATCAAGTATAAGGCTACAATGAAAAAAAAAGGTATTCCACAACATCTTCAGCATGATGTTGTATGCTGCCACGTGACCTTATCAGCCCTGTGATTTACCTCTATCAAATAACCATTATTTATCGCGTGAGCTAAATATGCCTGGAGTCAACTATTTATGTTTGTGATCGTAATGAATGACATGTACATTGCAGTACAGTAAGTCACTTCAAAAGCATTTGTTATGATGCACGGAGGTCATACACAACATGCATTTATTTCCTCTTCGTCTGAGAATTATTTACATGTATATGTACAGTGGCATATCCAGGATTCTATGACAGAATAGGGGCATACAGTCATGTATGTCTTTAAAAGATATCTCAGACAGAAAACAAATTGGCCCGAATTCACAAAGGGGGTTTGTCGACAAACCTTGGTTTTCGTACGTCATATGACGCGTTTTTACGCGTTTTTTACAAACCTGGTTTGTAAAAAACAAAAGGAGGTTTGGCGAAACAAAAGGAGGTTCGTCGACAAACCTCTTTTGTGAATTCGGGCCATTAAGTTTTGGACTTTGACCAGGGGGGCACAGTATGACAGTCATTGAACATATTTTTGGTAAACGAATTTGTGTATTCATGGTTCAATGAGTTTAGGAAATTTGGCTATGCCCCCAATCACTGGGAATTTGTGCTGTATTGCCTGTATAATGTAGATCTACTATCTAGATGCCATTCTTGTGCATACTTTATTCTCTTTATACACACTTCAATGATGAGCTCTAAAAATATATTACTATACTTGTGTCTCTCACTCATAGCATTTTATTTGTACGGACCAATACGTGTGCTCCTCCTGTGACATTTCCTACTATCAGCTTTCCTAATCATTTGTTTTCGTTCAGCTAGTATGGAGGAAGTAGTTCTGAGTGATGACCTTGTGATCGCCCTTTCCGAGCAAATTAATATAACACTTTATCCAGTCAGCCATTTTGCCGTCGACCTGGGCTTCGATTCCGCCGCTGCTAGCGCAGCGGATGAGCTGGCAATTCAGAAACAGCATCCGCATGGGAAATACGAGTATCTTCTACACAAGTTTGTCGCCACTCATGGTCGGAGGGCGAAAGCTGCTCAAGTTCTCATCGATATATTCAAAGTCAAACAGAAGATGCTCCTTGTCGACTTTCTTAAAGAAGGTGCGTCTGAAACTATCTCTCTCAGAATTTAGGTCATCCAGTAATGGCGAAAACTGTTAGTCACCTCTTTCTCTGCCACCAACATAATACACATTTCGGTGACAGTTCGGTAGTGAGATAATTGACAAGGGGATAAATTTGTTCATGGTAATTGATATAATGCTTGAATTATACACAGTATGCATTAATCATTAAACTCTCCTCACATTAAAATAATATCATTGTTGTCGTTTTTCTTTTTATTGATATCAATACATTATTACAATGAACACTGTTAAAACAAGTATTAAAAATCTGCGGGTTAAAAAATTGTTGATTAAAAAACACTCAACCATGGTTAAAAATGTAGTGTTGATTAAAATTTACTTTTAATCTTGCGTTGGTTAAAGGTAAAGACCAGTAATGGTCATGCGATTGCATTGTGAAAGAAACGTTGTGGAATCGATCAGAAAAGGTTGATCATCTAGCATCTAGCATCTGCAAGGTTCTGGAATCATCAAAATGATAAGAAATTTGGCCCATTCTTCGTAAAGTTACAGGCACTATACACAGAAAGATGTGTATGGGACTACCCTATATCTCTCGCACGACCATGAGAGAAACAAATTTACCAAATATATGAATTAGTAGGCGGTTTCCCGGCAAATTTTTTATCATCATGTATTAGTCAAAACATATTCTTTCACATGATTGGTAATGAGAGCTTCCATTTCATTTTTTGAAATTGGGGCGTTTCCAATACTGGTCTTTACCTTTAAAAACAGATTAAAGTATTAATCAACAAATGGTTAAAGTTTAATCAACACCATTTTAACCAACATTGAACAAATTTTTAAAACCAATAATTGATTAAAATTGTTAATCAACCACAGGTTAAATTTTAATCAACAGGCCGTTGGTTAAAGTTTAGCCAACAGTTGTGTGATTCATATGGTTATCCGTGGTTGATTAACATTTTAACCAACTTGATTAAAAATTGTAATACTTGTTCTATGTAACAGTGAAGGTGAAATTTCAATGATGACTATGACGGTGGCGATGATGATTATTACGACGATGATGATAAAAATGATGTTGGTAATTGTTTTGCATATCAAATTTATGTTTCGATGTTTTATGAATATAAACTTTATTTTTTATTTTCCTCTCATGAATTGTAGCCATATTGATCCAATTGGTATGCAATCTATTTGCCATTCATCATTAAATGATCAATTAGGCCTATAATATTAGATACATCATGTTCATTATTCTTGATACACAGCTATCGAAACTCAAAACGCCCTGAAACAGTCTGGACGTAGACAAGAGCCTGGACATGCAGAGGGACAGGGGCAGACTGGGACTGAAATTCGCCCCTTAAATGCTGTAGCAGGTGAAATTTTCTCCTGAGATATGATTTCTATAATTTCTTCAAGCTTAATTTGGTTTCATGTGTTAAATATTTATCATTGAAAATAGATAAATAAATAAATAAAAAGATAAGTAGAGAAATGAATAAATGCAAATTAAAAAAAAATGAAAATAAAGAAACATTATGTGCAATGTAATTCCTCCCAAGTTGAGATATCAGCAAAACTTATTCCTAGTTTTTATTAATACCCCACCACCATCACACACACACACGCACAAGCACAAGCACACACACACACACACCCACACGCACATAAGACTGTTTCCTCTCCACAACACCGAATAACGAATGTGACAACAAATTAGGAATTTTAGATTTTGCTTGCTTTTTTCTGTTACTGATTATAATTTCTATACGATTGATTTATTTAACGTTTTACTTATTTTATTGCAGGTCTGAGCTTGAGCTTGATTGTAGCTTTCTTGGCTATTGTGGTGGCTTGCAATTGGAATAATCCACCCACTGGTAAGCTATAACACTACAATTCCTCTTGCTTTGATTAAAGGTAATACAACGTTTTGGGAAATTTTGAATATTGGGTGGATAGTGATTCTTAACAATTTTGATATATTTGGATGCCCCTGTGGATGTATTATAAGCACTAGAAAATTTAACCCCTAAAACACTTCTGCTTTCGAAAAAATAGAAAATACAAATTTACCGGTGCTCCCGGTAAATTTTGATTAATTTCAAATAGCGCCTATGGCCGTACAATGGTAGCTGCGACCATGAAAATCTCAGAATATGTAGTTGTGATATATAATTTCCAAACGGGAATATCTAATCGGTCGATTTTAGTCAAGAAATATTGTTTTATAGCTTATTTAATATCTTGACCTTGAGAGGGAGCTATACAACATAACGAGTTTATTATTAACAATTTCATAACTTTAGACTCGATTTCAACCGCGACAACGACCACTGAATATTGTAGGATCGCATATGCTTCCAATATGTTCATTTGAACTAAATTCGTGACACCATCCCAAAACTTTGTATTACCTTTAAGCAAGGTACATGGGTTAGAGGCCCGGTAAAGGAAATACGTCCTTGAGAAAGAGTTATCTTCGCTCTTCTCCACCTGGGTGTTAAAGGGGTACCATCGGGGTATTATAAGATACCCAAAATAATGCTTAAAGATAAACTCCAGTTCTGGTAAAAAAAAAAAAAAATTAATTCTCACAGAAGCAAACGAAACTTACATTGAATGATCAAGATTACAAATAAATGACATGTGCCAAACAATTTTGGAAGAAAATGTATACTGGCTGAGTAATGAGCAAGAAAGACAAGGAAATCAAGGTAGTACTAACCCCGACACCATGTGTGTTGTCCATATCCAGTGCTTGTTACTTTACCAAGACTCGGTCAAATTTATTATGATTTTGATGACTCCAGAACCTTGCAGTGCACACCAATACTTAAATGCTACATGATCAACTGTTTCTGATCCTTACCACACCTTTTCTTTCACAATGCAATCGCATTACCAATACTAAAGTTTATCTTTAATTCCTGTGGTTCCCTTCCTTTATGTCAACCATTCGGAAGAAGTTATTTGGTTAAGAGGGGTATAGAGACATACTAACTGGTAAAAACTGTTGAAAAGAAAACAATTCTTATGTCTAAAACAACTTGATACATTTCTATGACCATTAAAACAATATGACTGTTACGCGTACACACACATTATTAAATATTCTTAGAACAGCGATGACGTTGCAATTCAAAATGAAATATTTATCAATATTTTGTGTGTATTTATTCCAGAATTAATAGCAGAAACCTTCAGCCTTGAAGAGTGTCAAGACACATTACGGAAACACTATGAGAAACACCTCTTTAACGTTCGCATCAAGCCGTTGGATCCATTAAATGACGTGGACCTAGAAAATCTCTACACGACCGTCAGCCTCTACAAACAAGACAAGAATAATATTCCGGACGAATCCTTACAGAAGTCTACTTTAAACGGATCAGTCAACGATATATTCCAGACTAAAGTTGGTGGATCGTTGCCAGAAAGAATTGTGTTGTTTGGGGAGGCTGGCCGGGGAAAAACTACAGCTGTAGCGAAAATGGCTTATGATTGGGCTAATAAAAAAGAAGACTCCCCTTTAAAGAATGTGAAGTTGCTCTTTGTCTTCAAGATGAGAAACATAAATGCCAAGACAGAAATAACAGAAGCCATTATTACGTTGCTGGGGAAGAAATACAAGAAGTATCAAAAACAGCTTGAAGATTATATCGATTCTCATGAGAAGGATATTGTCATGCTCTTCGACGGTTATGATGAATTTAGTGGAGGGCTAGAAAAGTGCAGGAAAAACGTAGGTGACGTCATTGATATATTGTGTCAGGAGAGATGTAGGCGATGTCGGGTCTTGGTAACGTCTCGCCCCGTTAGGATGAAAGACTTCTTTTCGAGAAAATTCTACTACTCCAGGATGGTTATAGAAGGATATTCTCAACAGCATGCCATAGATTTCATCGATAAATTCTTTCTTTCCAATAAAAAAAAAGGAACAGAACTGAAGAAATATTTGGAAGAAGACATCGTTACCAACGAAATGATTGCCACGCCCCTATTTTGCACTATGGTGTGTACTTTGTGGAATCATGGCTATATGAATGGACACTACACCCGAACGAAATTGTTTGATGATATCATGGAGTTCTTGAGGACACACCTGAATGCTAAGGATGAGCGAGATATAGAGATCAAGCAAGACCTGCTCAGCGATACACTTGTTTCAGTCGGGCGAGTTGCCTATACGAAATTAAGCAACAGGAGTGATCTGAATCCATTGGTGTTTAGTGAGGACGATTTTAGTGAAGTTCATGATGATAACGTGGACATCAGCTTCTCACTTGGTCTGTTAACAAAGAACATGAAGACGAATAGTGACGTCATCATCCACATTGAATTTTTCCACAAGTTAGCGCAGGAATATTCAGCAGGGAGATATCTTGCAAGTGGCCTCGATGAAGGAAAAATCAGCACCATTGGCTTTTCAGAAGTAGTCTTTGATCTAAAAGAGATCTTCCTGTTTGCATCAGGGACATCGGTCTTGGCGTGCCGAAATATTTTGGCATCTCTCATGGCAGGTTACTGCTCAAGTTTCTTTGACACAACGCTCTATCAATATCAGCAAATCATCTTAGATTTCATTAGCGAGGGAGGAACTTGTGCAGAGGATTCTGAAACATATGTGACATGTTATTTTAAACATGGACTCGAACTCCACAAAGTTACAGCATCAACCGTGGTTGGATTTGAGAAACTACCAAGATCTGTTAAGGAGAAGGTAATATAATGGAGAGGGGATGGAGGGAAGGAGAGAGACACAAGTCGATGGGGGATGGGAGGAGAGGGACATAAATGAGGAGTTGGGGAGATAAAGGGAGAGAGATGGGGGGAAAGGGGAAGAGTGAAGGGAAAGAAAAGAATGGGTGCGAATCAAAAGTTTGTCATAGTCTAGCATGGCCGGCGTTGTCCACTTCTCTTGCTTGAACGAAATAAATGCCTTGCTCTAATAAAAGCCTCATTATGATGTCGAAGAAAACTATTCCGTAACCTATGACTAGTGTGTGCATGGTAGTATCGATATTTGGACGCTCTCGTAAAAACTGTTATACATTTTATAAACAAGAAAAAAAGGACATTTTATTTCTACGAATAATGTCGTATTTGATATCTGTAAGAAGATTTTATGTGGGGGGGGGGGGCAGTGTTCTATTTAGAAGACACAATGAAACTTTAACTTTAGATAACAACTGCCTTTTTGTTGAAGAAATGACACTGTATTTCTACACATTTAATTTTGGGGTTCGGCAACTGACTGGTTTCAGCAGTACATATAAATTATTTACAAGATGTTTCCAACCATTGGAAAAATTTAGTCTGGATTCCATTTTACTCAACATGCTCAAGGAAACTTATCAATACCCTTTTCACTATTGCTATGGTTATGCGTTGTAGATCACAACCATTGTCATTTCTGCAAAGATCAGTTCTCCAGATTTATTTGTGAGACTATGGAACAGCATGCATACTTGTATCCACCTAACACATTTGACGATGCTTCTGGATGTTCCACCGACCATCTCACCTCAGATGGAGCCCCTGTACTCTGTCAACAGCTTCACCGCTGCTCTACAGCCACCTGCGGATGACTATGTGCAGATCATGATGTACCTTCCGAACCTCAAGGAACTCATCATATCTTGCAATGTAAGACTTGGTGTTGTACAATTTGCATAATAAATGTACCATTCATAGATTCATTCACCATTGATATAGTTCAAATAGCAGGGTCCGAAAGTCATTGTAGTTTGCGCAGTATTGTGAGCATCTGTAAAATGGTGCCGGGTTGGAATGCTTCCTTAGGGAGTGTGGGATGTGCATACTATTGTGCACGGGCAAGCCTGAATCCGATGACCGGGGTAATGACATTTCTGTAAAGCACTTAAAGACATCATAGTTGTACATGTTTATATAAACCCAGAATATTATAAGTACATAGTATTGATATTATTTCATGTGGAAGGTCGAGACCGAAGTAAGCCTCCTCGTGCGTCATCTTATGTTGCCATTCTGTCATTTCATTCTGTACAATTATTCAATATTCAAGACCGTCCAATACATGTTTTTCCCATGTACCTGTAATTTGATTCTGTATTGAAGTATGATTGATTGACATGAAAACATTTTGGTATGAGGATGAAGTTTAGCCATCACTATATATAATGCAATACACAGTTCAGAAAACTGAGGATTTTTTAAGTGTCATTATCCATGTGCTTGGAATCTCCCTTCAGAGATATGCTAATTTTTCAGAATGCCCACTTACGCCTGACGTGTTTGGAAGGCTATGGGATCAGGTGAACTCTTCGTCCATTCTCAGTCGCCTAGTTCTCCCCATCCCTGCCAACATCAGTTTTAATCTGAAGTACCTCACATCGATCCGTGTTTTTGAGACTCGCCATGTGATATCACTGAGCAGCCTCGCACATGTTTTAACCTTCCTGCCAAAGGTTAGGGAGCTGAATATTGATGAGGCAGTAAGTCACGTTTAAATATCTTTGCTCACAGTTAATTCGGTTCGGGAGGGGGTGGGGATAGGGGCTGAAAAATAAAAGAACATTTTTGCTTCCAATTGTTGTTAACAGTTGCCCCCCCCCCTCGAAAAATCGTGGACCTGCCATAACATAATAGACCCCCTTTGTCTCTATACTTTAAATTGCTCATCATTCATGTTGTAAGCGTATCAATATAAACCCTTTATACTTTAAAAAAAAAAAATCATTAATGTACCTGGTTATTATTATCAATGTCCATGGGTGTCGATACTTACGTAATACCTATTCATCAGGGGGGGGGGGATGAATGAATAGATCATCCCCCCTGATGAATAGGTATCAGTTACGGATCGACACCCATGTCAATGTCAAAAAGTGCGCCTCCCTTACCATCACGAGGAAAGAACACCAATACAGCATTACATATAGCTCCGTTTAGTCTCATTTAACAAGCCCCCTATCGTCAGAGTCAGCAGCCATACATGTTAGCCTATGGAATTGTCCAAAAAAAAATCGTTAAAAAGTCATTTTTGTTTAAACGAAAAGCACATCCACCCCGACTTACGTTATCACTAGCTCTTTCATTGGAACCCTCATGTCCCATTGACTTTTGAAATTTGAAAGTTCACCCACCGTAATTTGATCAAAATAGGTTGCAAGCTCGTCATTGCCTATAGTACACATGTGAAACAAGTTGAACTTTGGACTCAGTTTGTCAAGCGATTTTAAGATTATAGGTCAAGCACACGAAGGATAAGAAGCATGAATTATCATTTGATTTGATTTGATTTGATTTGATTTGATTTTATTTATTCATCATCAATAACATCAGTGATTAAACATTTGAATACATCGTGAATGGTACATGTTCATAAATGAATATTATAGATCATATTAAAGAAAAACCTAACAAAGTATTGATATGCTAGACATATGTCTTTTCTCATAGAATATAGAAGGTGATGAAAAGGAGCCAAATAATAGCACATGTGCTAGTCGAGTCTGGCCCCTGTTCTTAGCACACACTTGGCAAAAATAAATATATCATTATCAAAAAAATAAAACTTGACAGTAGAAGTATACATGTTGAGTAATACCGTAGCACAATTTCTACACTCCAAATATAATTATGAAGAGGATATACCAGGTTAAAAAGATCACTTCTGCTCGGTTCATTATGTCCATTTTATCCACCCCCACCGTAATTTTTCCATTTAGTGAAAGCAAACATTTTGCCGAGTTTAGCAAAAACATGAATATTCATGAACGGTCAGACAATACAGCCTTTTAGTACGTAACGTATAGTGAATGGGAATGGGCGATGATCCGCCCAGGAGGTAGAGGTCAGTGGTTTGTGCTGGCAATGTTCACACGAGCGAAAATGAGACAATCGGAGCAATATGCTACCGGATTTCCAACGAGATAATACCCAGGACAGACAAGTACAAGTATCTCGGGGCAGAGGCGGCCCTCCCGGGGGGCAGGGGGGCACAGTGCCCCCCTACTTTTTCAGATACCCCAAAAGTGCCCCTTTTTACATAGGAAAAAAGCCCCTTTTATTTTGTAAGAAGTGCCCCTTTTACTTTGACAAGTGCCCCTATTACTTAGTAAAAGTGCCCCTTCCCCCTTTTCACCTCTGACGAGTACCCTTTTTATTTTTGACACGTGCCCCTTTTCCTTCAACATGTTCCCATTTTCCTTTGCAATAAGTGTCCATGTTCCATTCTCATAAATCTTGAAATTATCTTGAATAAGTGCCCTTTTTATTCTCTAGTAAGTGCCTCTTTTCAGGTACGAGAAGTGCCCCTTTTCACTTTTAATAAGTGCCCCCTTCACCTCTGATAATTGCCCTATTCAAAACTGAGAGGTGCTCCTTTTACTTTGACAACTTCCCCTTTTTTCCTTTGTAAGAAGTGCCCCTTCTCCTTTTAATACTACCCCCTTTTTAAACTCGGATGAGCACACCTTTCATTTTAACATGTGCCCCTCTTATTTTCTAATAAGTGCCCCTTTTCCTTATGATAAGTGCCCCCATTAAAAAGAAAGAGCTCCTTCCCCTTCTCATAACTGCCCCTTTTAAAAATCTGAACGGTGCCCCCTTTTCATTCAATAAATGCACATTTTCTTTTATTATAAGTGCCCCTTTTACATTTTCATAAGTGCCCCTTTTCATATCTGGTCAGTGCCCCTTTTCAACTCTGATAATTCCCTTTTAATAATGATAAGTGCCCTTTTCCTTTCTAATAAGGGACCTATCCACTTTTCATCTCTTATAAATGCCTCTATCAAAATCTGATGGGTGCCCCTTTTCCGTCAACAAATGCCTTTTTCCCATTTTCATAAACGCCTCTTTATCGACTGGTGAGTGCCTCTTTTCAGGTGAAAAAATGCCTCATTTTCACCTCTTATAATTATCCTTTGTACTTTGACACGTGCTCCTTTTCTTTTCTAATAAGTGTCTAATATCCCTTTCGATAATTGTCCCCTTTTCATGTAATCATTAAACGTGCCCCTTATTTAAAGCGACTAAGAGCAATTTCCCCCAAAGTTCACTCGCTGCGCTCGCTCGCATTTAAAGATGATATAATTATGTTATTTATCAAAGGTCTTTTCAGTCTTCCGTTATGAGAATGTGCTTATAACCCCATCACGATTGGCTTTTTTCCTCTTTATAAGATGTAATTTTTCGCACTGCGACCTCACAGATCTTTAAAATTTTTCTCGCTCGCTTCGCTCGTTCGTAAATGCATATTCAGACATCACACCCAACTGTAAAGTATGATGCTTAAGCGATATCTTGTATGATGTATGAAGAGAAACAAATATTGAAATCATCCCTGAAAATGTAATCACAATGTAGGGGTATATACCAATGTCTAAAAAATTGTATAATTTCGCTTTGAGATTTCCCACTGTAGGTGCCCTTTTTTCCCAGAAAGTGCCCTTTTTTGTTGGTGCCCCCCCCCAACTTTGGAAGTCGCTCGGCCGTCCCTGTCTCGGGGTAACTGTAACCAAGGACCTTCGATGGAATACACACTGCCAACTCCTACTGAACAAGGCCAACAGAACCCTGTCACCATGCACCAAGGATGTGAAGTCAAGAGCGTACAAAGCCCTGGTTCGACCGCAGCTAGAGTATGGCGCTGAAGCCTGGAATCCCCACACTTCTGGTGCTGCCGAAGGTCTGGAAAGGGTACAGAAAACAGCTGCTCGTTTTGTCTTCCGCGACTACCGA